ATGTACACAGTGCGCAGTTTCTAATCCTTGAATTCGAGTATAGCAGTCACTACGTTAGAAAATTATTCGGTGAGTACCCAATCCACCAACAAATAGTTTATTTGCCTATGCTGTCTTCCAAGCGGGCTCTAATCCGTCATCCCCTCTCTTGGCCAAGATGCTCTGCCCCAGCCCCGGCCTAATACTGAGTCCTCACATGAACCATATGCGTGCCTGATTGTTGTCCCATCCACCAACACGACAAATCAAAGGGAACATGATTAGCCACAGAAAAAAAGTGTGTTAAAACTTGCAAATCCCCTCTAATTTGAAAAAAACCTGTCGTTACCACTTCTGGATTAGTGATGGCCAGTTGCTATCTGACTGCCTGTGTGGACTTGATATCAGGAACTGCAGGCAAAACGGAAATACCCACTGCCGATACAAGCGAAAATGCGTGCAATTGACTGATAACCGCAAATAAATCCACAGCTGCCCATTCCAATCTCCCCTATCTGTCGGCCTGTATCGCCTGTGACGTACGATGTAAGTGAGCTTCAAGTGCCGAAACAACCTAGGTTGCGATGCCACCTCAACCACTCGAAATGATGAATGCTTTTTAGCAAGTGTACAACTTTTTGTTTAGAAATCTACCAGAAAATATTGAGAATCTTCCTAAAGTTTGCATCAAACGGAAGCACTCAGAGCAGAATTAGGCCTAGTATACGAGTTAGAAAGAGGAGTAAAGTAATTCGCTTAGCTATCGCGCATTGCTGTTAACGGCTCGGCTCTAGATCAGTCGCTTTGTCTCCTCCCGGTAGCAGTTGTCTTTGGGCCTTCTCACTCTCTCGTCGGTTGTGATGATTAACACTCAGAACCTACGCTCGTTTTATGTTCGCTTATCTAATCGGCGAACATAAATCCTGTCGGTCGTGAGCGGTAGCTGCGCAACTGCTGTCCACGCCCGATTTTCCGCCGCTTCTTGTACCTCCGTTTCGACCCGTTGAAGAACCAACTGAGATAGACGACGTAAATGCGATCCTATCTACTGCATTGCTTGAACCAATCGTTTTGCTTCATAAAATATGGCTTGCCAATGCAAGCGCACCAATACGCACACAGACCGGAGGCAACCATAAGACGTCAGATAAGGAAACCGGAAGACGCACTGCTACGGCAAGAAACATCTGGAGTCGTCTACAGGATCTGGTGCAGTTGCTGGCAAAGCAACTATGTCGAAGAAACTGGCGGACTTCTCGGGACGCGAATTGCCGAACATGCGGCAGCAGTGCGGCAAATGAATGCCAATTCTCAAGTTGCGGCTCATTCGACGAGACCCGGCCACACCTTGAAATTTAATGA